AGCAGTGGGTGCCACAGAAGAATGAAATGCTGGGCAATATGTGAGGGGGGAAGTAGTAAGACGTTTACACACAATTATGCAGTTTAAAAGGAATAGTTTGTTCCTTTTTAATGAGCTTGTGTTTTGGATAATCTTACTGTCTCCAACATTTATCTTAATGATAAAAACAAGACAAAACCGTAAGTGCAAACACTTAACTGCACTAAGCTATGGAGCACACATCGTCAGATCGCGTTAAACAGCATTCCCTCATCAACTAAATGACTCTAATTGCGTTTCAGTATCTCTTATTGAAAATGAGCCCATTAACTAATGCTGTGCAGGAAACGGTCTTGTAAAAAGCCCGCTTTTTCCACATAAATTGCGGTTACGCCACACACGCACCTCTGCCAGCTCTGTTACATTTGAATGCTATCAGCCACAGCAACACATGGCCATAAAGGCTTTAATCAGGCTCAGAGCAACTGGAGAATATCAGCACTGTAAAGGTCAGCTTGAGTAAACAATTTAATGACATTTCTGTTTTTCTTTTCTCAAAACAGCGCACGCTGCAGACAGAACTAATTAGAGCGCAACGTAAACCGAAAGGCTTGTTCTTTCACCGGTTATCAACACTGTAGGTGCTGGTGGATCCAGCACTAAACAACTGATCGGTCCCAGTTGTTACTGAGTGAGAGGTAGAGGTGGGTGATTATAATCATGATCAAAAAGAAAATGTATTCTATTTAGTCTATGAAGGCATTCACAGAGTCGGATGAATGATTGATTTATCGTGTAAGCCTTTGGTTTTAAAAAGGAGGGCTGCTTGAGGCTATAAGGGTCCCATTGGAGTTCTTTATAAAAACTTTCCCCTGCAAAGCCAGAAGATGCCAAAAGCTCTGATTCACCACCACGGCAGCATATGTTTATTCAGTTACTGAGCACTATTGTTTCAGTCGTTTTCTTTTATCCTGAGATGCTCCTGCTTCTTAGGGTAGTGCTGCATTTGCTCAATATTACATTTGCTGCATTTCCTTAATATAACACTTAATATCCAGAATGCAAAACGGATTTAGATAAGAAAAAAGAGACACAATCCAAAAAACAATGTGTAAAACAATGATACGTCCCTCTTTGATTATACTTTGATTATGAACACTAACCAGAAAACGTGCAACTTATTTGTCTTTTCTATTTATTTTGTAATTTCTAATTTCCAACGACTTCTCCTGTTTAAAGATCTGTTTTGCAAATCTTAAGACACGACGCGTCAGTCAGTACCCATGCATTACCTCAGTCCTCTGATTTGCATACAGAGCCTACCGTCAAGGTCTTGATGAATGAGTTGTAAAACAATGGGCGAACACTCAGCTCTCAGTCTGGACTGCCAGCACACAGAAGCCATAATGACACAAAGAGAGATTTGCAGGGGATATAAAACCCTCCCGTAATTGACTGCTTGCCACAATCAGATAAGCAGGCCCATTTCACCATTTCCAGTGTTAAATGTCAAATGACTAGCTGAGTGGGGAGCTGAGTGATAAAACATAGTGCTGGCTCATTACGGCCTGTCAGTCATGCAACAAGCTGGCCTCTTCATTCCCACAATAAGATGGATTTTCTGCTCTTTAACGTAGGAAAAGCGAAGGGCTGCTGCTCTGGCTGCCTTTTAATCACAGAGTTGTATTAAAAGCTGTTTAGAGGGAGTTAGTGAGCAAGTGTTCAGCACCTGATGTAAAATTTAAGGGGGAGAGAAATGTATTTACTTCCTCTGTGATCACTCCCATCACTGTATACAATTTAATGCATGAGTTGCTGAAGGCTCCATTTTCCCCTCGAGGAACAACTCCCTTTTGCATACCATTACTCAAAGTGACTATTGCCCCCCGAGAGACCGAGAAATAAATTTAGTGTGTATGCCGCAGTGGTGGACTGTTTGCCATTAGGGCAGACTGGGTCACAAACCTCATGCATACATATGATCACAAAGCACTCTTCCATTCACAGACAGACAAATCCCCTAAGAGAGAAAACCTCCCGAGTTAGCACCACCGAAGTGACGATGAATTCACTGCTGGCTTTTATGTCGTCTGTGGTGGGACCAAATGACACGCTGCGATAATGACAGACGTCAGCTGAAGTTGCATGTTTGGAAAAAAACAGGCGTGCATGGAGGACCCAGCTCCAGAAAAATGGGCTGTTTTATAGTCGTCTCCCAGGGCAGCCAGTTGTTTCGCAAAAAGGGCCCGCCAGCCCACACAGTTCCTTCTGTGTCTCATCAACGCAACGCAATCCACTGAAAGCGAGCTCCATTGTTCATATAAAAAGCTGTTGGGAAAAATCCTTTTTTTTTGGTGTGTTTTTTTTTGGTGCACAACAGAGACGGTCTGTTTCTCTGCAGTGTGCGAAATGCAGCCTGACACTGAACATTGTGCAAGCAGGAAAGAACTCATAAAAGCCTTGATGTTAAGAGATCAATCCTCCGTCTACCTTTTCAGTGGCTTAAAAGCTAAGATTTATTTTTGCTGTGGTTCTCGAAAACTGGTAAAACTCCTTTAAATGGCAGCAGGTTGAGAGTTTTTTGGCTGGAAATGCTAAAATGTGAACATTTTTTGGGGAAAAACTTGGATTCTCAGACTTCTTGTGCAGCTACACAAAGACAAAGCAAAACTGAGAAATGTGACACATTTTAAGAATCTTGGCTGTTTACCAAAACATATTAGACTTTGATTTACTAAAAATGTGTTAAATTTGAGGGCAAAGAAATTGTTTATCCAGACTTGTCCATTTCCAATGGCAAAATATATATTTCTGATGGAAATTCAGGAGCTGGAAAGGTTTGGATTCTTTCTTTGCATTTTCCTCATCAATGACAGAGGTGAAAGGTCAATATTTATTTCATACCTCACAGATTTAGAGTGCATTTAGAGTTCCATCATTTTTTACGAAGTGGATTTATGCAGGGAGCTCATAAAGAATTCAGATGCTGCACGAGATGTGCTGTGCAGTAGCAGAGCACATCTGCCACTTGATATTTTTGCCAATTGACCGAACCGCTATGGCGAACCATGAAAGAATACACAGAGCTCGCTTTGCGCCAGAACTCTGAACAAAAAATCCCGGAGTCTGTTTTTTTCCCAAAGACAATTGGATCAGCAGGGTGTGTGGGCTTTCAATCAAAGAGGAGAAAAACTGTCTACTTTGAGGCATCATTTCCTTCGGCCCTTTTGGCCCCGTTTCCTTATAGCGTAGCCATGCCTGACAAGCCATTAGGAGGCTTGTCTTCCAGCAGAAATGGATGGGCCGCACTCCAGAGGACAGAAGGAGTCAGATAAAGCTTAAATCATGAGAGGACAGCATGCAGAAGAAAGAAGCAGAAGCCTCCACTCGTCATTACCACACTCCGCTGAGCAGTAAAAGGAACAGGATAGATCTGCTCTTAAACTGAATGAGTTTTCCTGTCCTTTTTATTTTTTTTGCTCGGTCTCTTTCTCCAGTTTGGCATCTTTTTCTGCTTGAACCCCACCCATGCTTGTTGTTCCATTTTTTTTGCTGCCATTGTTTGCAGCCCCTCTTGCTGGACTTTTTTGTGCATACGTCTAATTTATGACGGGCAGAGATTTGTGAGCGGAACATTTAACTAATAGCAGGCATAGAAATGGTCTACTTAAAGACTGAGTGCTTCTGCCATATCAAAATATAAAAAAGCCATATATCGTAATCCCAGGTTTAGTTCAGAGTCAAAGTAAACACAGACATAGAAAATACTTCAAACACTTTTCACTGTTCCATACTGAACTAAATAGGAATATTCAGAATTATGTGGCCGCCTGGTTAATGGCTGCTTGTAGATTTCAGAGGCTGCTAATACTGGGAGGCTTTCATACCATTTTAAGCCCTGCCCTCTTCTGACGTGGGTCAAAGGATTCTTACTTAGGTGTCGATAAGAGGCTGTCAGTGCCATGGGAAAATCTTCAGCCTGCTCCTTTTGGGGTAATCCATCCGTATAATTTGTTGTTTTTAGGCACACTTTTGAGTTTCAGAAGATTTTTATTTATAATTTTCCTCTTTTTTTTAAACAGAGGAAATGATTTCTTCTACAACTGAAACAGTTGGAAATGGTCTGATCTGTACATGATCTATATGTGCTAAGGCACATTTCTCTTTCATTTTGGCCAATATTTTTCTGTTTTGCTTCATCAGTCCATTGGATTTTTCTGTTTTCTGTCTCCAGAAAACATTTGGCTCGTCAGCCCCTGAAGTTCTCTGCTGATGGTTTTTCCGTGACGGTAATATTTGTGCAGGTGTTGCTGCACGGTAGACAGTACATCACCGCTGTGGAGTCTGATAATTCTTGCTGAGGTTTTTACAGGGGTTTTGATTGTCCTTTCCAAGAATCACACGAGCCCCAAGTTCTGAAATATTTCTTACAATACTGAAGAAAAGAGACATGAAAAGGCATTTCTCTCCTGTTCCAGCTTTCGGACGCCAGCTCCTGTGGGCCATAAAGATATGAGGAGCTTTGAAATTTACAGTCGAGCCTCTTCTCCATCACTTCCAGCAAAGTCATTTTAGAAAAGGAAACGTTTGTGATTCCTTTTGCTTTGTTACATATACTGCCAGGAGCTAGGGTTTGTTAGAAATGTAAAAAAACTCAGACAATTTCTCTTAAGAAATATTTTAAGCTTCAATCACAGTGAGGCTCAATGCTCATTACTTCTCCAAAGATACATTTTAGCTGATTTATGTCTACAAAAAATCTACACCGTAGGAGCTTTTGCTTTGTTTGTCCATTTCAGTTTTTTTTTCTGACTCATTCTGTGTTTCATCTGTGGGAAACCTCAAGAATCAGATGAGTAACACAGCTGTTCATACACAGGGAAACGACTTCCCATTTGAAAAATGGCGATAGGCAGAGCGAAGCACGCATCCTCTGTAATACCACGCACATTCAGTGTGAATGAATAGGCCTCTCCGTTCCGGTATTGTCTCAGACCCTTGTGCTTATACCGACGGCTTACCTTGAAGAAAATCTCCAGGATCTGGCGCAGCTTGAGCCTGTGGAAGACGCAGACGTCGTAGAGCGCCGACACGGCCAGGACGGTGACGCCCAGCTCCTTCCACAGCATGCTGCAGGCGGCGCAGGCCAGGCTGGCCGAGAGCCAGGCGGCCCGCCGCGGGGCCCCCGCGCGGCCCCGCAGCCCGCAGTGGCGCGCGTAGCACAGCAGCGAGAGCAGGAAGAACAGGGCGGCCCCCTCGTCGGCCCGCCCCACCACGCCCGCCACCGCCTCGCTGTGGACGGGGTGGCAGGCGAACAGCAGGCCGGCCGCCAGCCTCCACGGCCCCCCGCCCAGCAGCAGGCCGGCCAGGGAGGTGAAGAGCGCGCTGACGGCGGCGTGGAGGGCCACGTTGGCCAGGTGGTAGCCCCACGGGTCCAGCCCACCCGCGGCGTGGTTGAGGCGGAAGGAGAGGGTGCACAGGGGCCGGTAGGACTTGTGGCTGCCGCTGTGCGTGAGCAGGGTGCCCCAGAAGTCATCGTAAAAGATGTTCGTCCAGGGGGTCTCCGGAAGCAGGTCCTGGTTGGTCTTGATTGCACGGCTGTAAAGAGAAGAGGGGAGGTTAGAAAAAACATGTTTATAGGCTACAAAATATGAGAAGGTTGAAGGAATGTAAGTAATGCCGGTGTGTTTTTAAACCTTTCCCTCTGACTACCTGCATTTGATAGATCTTTTGGAAACTGGTTTCAGTTCACAAAAAAAAAAGCAACTTTGCAGCCGCTTATAGTTTAATTAACTCTCAGAGTTTGGTCACATGGCGTTCACATACAGAGCACCACACCCAAAATTACACGCACAAAGGAGACATCAAACAGCAAGCTTATAGAAACGTTAGACTCACATTAGGGTGACATTTAATGAAGCATTTCAGAGGAAAACCGGCGGAGGTGCAAAGAGTCATTTTAAGCTGAGGGAATTAAAACATCAAATTTGTCATTTCGGCTCCTCTTTTCAGAGGAAAACCTTTAATTAAGGGAGCCATTCGGCGTCCCTTTGTTATTGACGACCCGGAATGACTTCACCTAATGTGGCTACATCTGTCACAGGCTGCTTCTGTCAGCGTGTGGCGGCACAGCGGGGAGGGGTCAAAGAAGGAGGGAGGAAAGGACGACCCACTTCTCTCTCCAGGGGGGGCATTGTGAATGCTAACTGCTTCTCCTACCTTTTCAGCTTCACTACAAAGTCCCTGACAGAGCGACAGACCTCTGCTGCTCACGCCCGACACGCCGGTGTCGATGATTTGTTTAATGAGCTCCCCCCAAGAGAGAAGGGCGGTTGCAAAAGGAGAAGAAGAGGTGGTGTAATTTGCAGGCGTGATAAATGATACATGACAAGTGATAACAAACCGTGTGCGCCAGGTTGTAATGTGTCCTCACAACGGTGACAATTTACACACGTAATTAGCTCAAAGAGAGATGGCTGGGACAAGGTGGTGATGGGGAATCCTTAACTTGAACTCTGATTCCTTCCACAGAACATGACAAAAAGCTTGTTTTTTGTGATTAGACTTTTGGGGAAAAAGGTGCAACAGGGCACAGTTAACCCATGAGTGACGCTTCGCTTCCTCAGTTTTTTCTCAGGCTCCCGAGGGAAACACTTTATCTTGGCATAGGTTTGTTAAATGAATGCCCTCTCCCAATACCAGAAAGCTCACGGGAAGTTTAGCGTGGCACTGCGTGGATTTCAGCATTCGTCAAATCACAAAATGAACCTGTTCTGTGAATAAGACAGAGTTTAAACAGTGCTTATGATGGATCTAAGGGAAGTGCTGTATATACCACCAGGCCTCTGGATAGTGGAAAGGATGTAGAAATGATTAGCAGGGACATAATAGAAAGGGTTTGGCTGTCAGCGCATTGGGAATTGGTTCCTTAACCTCTTTTGGCCAGACTGATGGAGGCTCTAACCTTCCGCCAGCAGGATCGGGGGAGCAACAGCCCATCACTCAGACACGCGTTTTCCCCCTTCTCCAGCCCGTTTGTCAAGCTGCATTTGTCATTTGAGATGCTCAAATGAGCATTTTGGTCGACGAAATCTCAAAGAAATTTTAGAAGCAAGTGCACTCCTTCTCCATAAAACAATGCGGTGGAGCCATTGAGGCCAGTTGCATTAAAGATGGCCACAAAACCACACCAGAATTCTCTGGCAGCAGAGGTCAGAGAGAAGCCAATGCATCTGAAAGCCTGCTTAATTTTCAGTTTTGGCTCCCGGGGGCTGCCATGCATGTTTTTTTTTTTTTTACCCCTCAGAAAGTCCAATGTGTCGCAGATGCGAGTGAGCACCTGACACACTGTGCCCAACAAGCCAGTGACTGAACAGCTCATAAAAAGAGAGGATGTAAGATCTGGAGAGATTCATGCAGCCTCAGAGTGGGTGAATGAGACACACCCACAGCTGAATGAACACATTTAAATTGCAATCCACTCGGTCACGGCTGCTCTCGCCAGTCTATGGCGAATCATTAATCCTCTGTGTGTGTTCATCATCATCATCATCATCAAGCTCCATACTCCTCTACCAGCATAACAGCCAGCTGGAGAGGAAGACTGAGACTGCAGACCGGGCCCAGTTTCTCAGAAGAGCTGGCAGTGGGGAGGACCTCTCTGTGCACTGCGAGCCTTTTCCAGCCGGGAGCGCATTCCTCCCCCAACCGCCTGCCTGTACACCAACTCACAGAGGAATGAGGGGATCATGTGGCCACTAACAAGAGAAGCCCCTAAAAAGCCTTTCTACCTCACATTTCTCTCTCTGGCTGCAACCCCTCAATCCCTCCATGACTTGTCTGGATTTCATTCGTGAACTCCAATCTGTCGCTTTCTCGTCTGCTTGCCACAATGGGGACTGTAACAGAAGGGGGGGGAGTCAGAAACGGAGGTTTGATTTACGCTGAGATTCTCTGGGCTCGGACAACCTCTCATTATTTCGGTAAAGCCTGGTTTACTCGTACAACACAAGATATTTTTAATGACGGATTAAAAATGGCCTCGGACCCATTTCCATAGAAAATGTTACCAGAATTACATCAAAAGTGATAAATAACCAGCTCATCCCTTCAGAAATGTAGAATTGTCGCCTATAGAATGAATTCAGCAGTATGGTGAAGCTAAGCAGACAGGTCCAATGACCACAGAATGGTATGTAAAGAGGCTTTCTGAAATTGACGATCGATTTGGTGCAGAGACCAAGCGGCCGGAACGTATGGGACATGAGGCTGGATATTTGAGAGGAGATTGAAAACCAAGGACATGTCATCAGGATTTTCCCTTTGCAGCAACTCAATGAATTTGAGATGAAGCTATGAGAGAAACAGAGCTGTGTGACCAGACTAAATGATCCTATAAAGGCTTGGGGGAAATGACAGAAAAAGAAGTCAGACCAGGCTCACCAAAGAATGCTGCTGGGAATCTGTTCAGAAATGAATCACACAAGGGGGACGCATAGCTGTTCCTTTGTTTTAAGGAACATATGATTTGCATGGGTGTATATATAGAAGCAAACTGAATGGGTGAAGTAATCCGTGTGTTGGATGCATCCACAAACAATGTGGAAGCCTTGAGAAACTAGTTTCTAGATTCACAACTATGAATCTAAATTAATTTTGGTTTATCTACATGGTGCCAATCACCACATATGTAATCTCCAGGGACCTTAAACCGAGAATAAACAAGTCTAACTCAATCAAATCAAATTCTTATTCATTGTAATTCATTTCAGCCTAACTCACAATAATCTCATTTAAACCAAATGAGGCAAATTACAACTGAACTCATAAAAAAATACACTATCTTTCCAGACCTATAAAGTTTCTTCTTCTCTAGCAGAGCGCTGTTTTATTTAATTTTTCAAGAGGGGCACTATGAATAAAAATCTATAGAAATTATTCTTTAAATGTAGTCAAGCGCATAATATCTGCTTGAGTTAAAGGTTATATTTAAGTTGCTATTTTCAACATTCACAAAAACCACAGACACAATAGTAAATCACTCGACAGTAGCTGAGATGAAAACAGAGAAATCAGAGAAAATGCTTGGTGGACAGTGCACAACAAACCGCTCACAGTCTCAATATTGAAACGCTGAGAAGAAAGTCTGCCCCCTTTAAATTGCGAGCCGTATAAAGATTTCTATTTGTGACAGCATGTGAAGAGAAAATCAAGTCTGGTGGGAGTTTGGGGAAAGTGATCGAAGGTCTGCCAACTATATGTCATCGGCCAGATTCAATATCCCAAAGAAGCACAGTGGTATTTTTAGGCAGTCTACAGAGACACAGGGGTAGCCCACTCAGTGTTTCCGGAAAGTTCTTTGTCTAACATTTCTTCCCATGGGCACGCTAGCCAGTCATTAACGCAGATCTCCACTGTACTGACGCTATCTAAAATCCAAAACAATCATTCTCATCTGGTGAAGAGTATCTATTGTTCATATATAATCAGACTAAAGATGTTTGAACCCAGATACATTATCTTATATGTTGTGTACAGTCATATCCAGCATGTGTGATATGTGAAAAAAGATAAGAATTTTCCAAAAACGAGAGAATTGAGTTTTTTTGAGGCACCCTTACAAATTTCAAGTGTTAAAACCTTAAGAAATAATTCAGGCAGGGGGGGGGAAATAGGGCAGCTGCGTTTTGGAAACGTTCCAAAAAACTACATTTCTGCTATTTCAGGCTAAAAAGAATCAACTCACACCTCAAAAAACGTGCCAAATGTTTGGGATTTTGGAGTAGGACAGCTGGATAAGACAAACACAGAAAGCAGGTAGGAGTAGTTCCTGTTGCCGGTGCACCGCTGAGGCCTCCAGAAAATCCCTTTTGTCAAGAATGAATGCCTTCTTTCATCCATATGACACATGCAATTAGTGAGCTGATGGTAAAGGTTCTTTAGGAAACAGCCTTAGAGAACTTTGAGGAGCATGTTTTAAAGCATTTAGCCTTGAAAGGGTCTTTTTTTAGCTTGATTTAAAAAAACAACTTTTTGATAAACGGATACTTTGGTGTAATTGTTGTATAGGTCCAAAGTGCTGGTCTGTTTCTCCTCACGAAATCTTGAAACAAATGAAGAGAAATGAGCCTCTTGATCATCAGTGGCCAACCTAATGCCACCCTCCATCACCATAACTGATGGAAGCCAAGAGAACAGGATCAATGAGATGGTGGCTGTGTACTTAGTCAAAGTAAAGGTTAGGCATTGAAATTGGAGCTAATTCTCCTCTAATCAATATTGTTCCACAATCTACAAACTCATGACGTGAGGGTCAGGGGTCACTTCAAAAATGTTCCCCCTAACTTTTGCAAGTCCTCTTCCATCCATCCAAGATGTGATCAAATTGGGGAGAGTCTAAAGTGCACACACAACGAAACACACATGCAGAACCATGTCCGACTCACCCCCGGGCTCTCTAAAGGTCCTCTCCCCCAGGAGCGTATTTGCATTGCTGCACTGACACAATCATACATCCTTGCTCCATTTCATGGCGCAGTAGACAAGCAAACACAGGGACACTGAGAACCCCTCAGTCTGGAGCGAGGCAGGCTCCTCCA